ACACCGAGCAACATGTACACTCTTGAATTTAAATTTTCAAAATTAATGCTTAGTTACTGATGGATATATTGTTCTAGTACCTAGTAGTTTGTCGCTGTTATCAAAATATGCCTCTGCGGCGTATCGATCGCCACTTGCGCCATTCGTTCGTAAAAGTATGGTCAAATTGCTCGATGCTATTATGAATCGCTATAAGTAATTTGTCCGTAGAAAAACTGAAAGTTTTGGCAAAGCCACAATTTAGAAAAATAACGGCGCCATTGAACCGATGTTTTCTATTGACTTAAAAAAAGTTTTCTGTCATCAATATTTCCGCCTATTCACCGCTTTGATTTATAGCTTTCTCTCGTTTGACAATATTTTATAATATTTGGGAAATTCCCTACAAACGTATGACATTTACATACGAAATCCATGCGCGCAAATCACTTTAAGATAGATCATCAAGTTGGTCAAAACAATATTATGTTCATGTGGCAGAATCCTAATTTTCACTCTTCAAAGGCTGTCTCCCGCAAGGACGCTAAATCCATAATCTCAGTTCTCCTGTTCGACACAAATCTTGCAGTTATATCTTGAGTATCAAAATTAATTCAGCGGTCGTATTTATATTTGGAAACAAATTTAAATTTATATTTTAGTCCCTTAACAGTTAGTTCAGGAAACCGGTTTAGCCATTTTGATGTGAACGATAAAGATGGGTTCAGACCACAATTTTTCTTCGTTGATGTGATCTAGTAGTAAGTGCGTTCGTTATACATATATTTTTGCTACTTTTATTACGTATTATTTATTAAACCGACTCCTGGGTGAAAACCCCAATTCAATCTTACAGATAAATTAAAACTTGAGTTTAACCAACAAAATGGTTAAAATTCTGTAAATTTATGCAAAGAAAAGAAATATCTGTTTTCATGTAATAATTCTCGTAGAAACGCAAATTGTTTTAAATTGCGTTGCTAAGAAGTAATAATGCTTATGTAGATGCATGAGACATATATATACGTTTTGTATTATGTAGTAAATTGAATACTAGCAGAAACATGAACGAATGGGATAAATTTATATAGTTGAAAACTTGTCTTTGTTTGTATGGAAGTACCAGGTTCTAGAGTTTCTGTTTGAATCTAAGTGGATTATAATTATATTTTTAAAAGCCAAATAGTACTTTCGTTTTGTGTTTAGAAGTTGTCGACATTTCGAACTGATCACAGTTTGATTAGTTAGAAACATTATTTATTAAAAATCTGATCTACATTCACATTGAATACTTCTGGAGTTAAAATGTAGTACAAACTTTTTCTTTTGTTGTCCTAACTAATATTATAAATACGAATGTGAGCTTGTTTGTTTGTTACGATTTTACGCCATAACTACTCAACCAATCATAATGAGATTTTGTACACACATTGTCACGGGTAGAGGAAGGAACATAGAGTCATCCAGAAAAAAACTGCTTTTCCCGAGGGATAGAAAAAAATTAGTTTTACAATTCATTTCAAACGGTTAAAGATGTGACCTTGAGAAAACCCACGCGAATAGAATGAGCAAGACAGAAATACTTTGAAATTTATCAAGGCTCATCCAGATAAAAGGAAGGGGCATATTTCTAATTGTTTGAAATGAGTTGCATTTGGCGTCCGGTAAATCAACTGGGCCTATGATAAAACCTAGTTTTCATATAAATTAAGAACTGATAGTTACTAGAACTTTTCAATTAAAAATGGATCACTGAGTATTTATTTTTGTTTGTTATATGGCGCCTTACTTTCTTTATTGGATTGAAAAATAAAAAGGAAAATATATTTCAAGAATCGGATGACATTTTTTGGAAGACTCTGTATTACTGTCATTTTTCTTAATCCACAGTTCAAATATGAAAATCTGGTAAAACAAAATCAAGCTTGCCAGGTACGTATTTGTTACAAAACACATTGACGTAAATCTGAACTGGTTTTGACCATTTATTCAAGTGTAACTCAAAAGTGAGCAAGATTTCTACGAACACTACTCAATCAAGGATTATCGCCTGTCAAAGATGAATAGTGCCTAACCAACGTTTCATTTTCCGGAACGGGGATAAGAACGAGAACCCTAATAAACTGACACATTTCAACCTCGAGGGCACCGTTTTTATCAACCAACGCTCGTCTTCGGCAAGCTTGCAGAGGAAACTGAACAGTCTAAAACGAATAAATGCTCGCGGAAATATTACATACTATTCATTCTATGTGGATATTTTGTGTTCATTGTCCCCTTATGTAGAATATCCATAAAGATAGGATAAAGGATAGCCGTATTTCCTATTTATGTATCTGTATGGAAAAAGAGGCAGAAAGGTGGAACAGAATACTGATAAGCAACAACATTCATTTTTATCGTACAAATTTTCTCATTTTATGAGTTTTAAAAAATTAGGGGAAACTAGTAGTCGATTTTCAATATCTGGGAAGTCAGATAAATGAAGATAGAAAACGTGGTATAGCAGGGCTGAAAATAAAAGTTAGAAGATGAAAATACCATGGATACAGGTAAGAAAAATGAGTAGATATTAGAATACATGAGAACAAAGAAAACAGAGAGATAGAATGGTAGGGCATAAAAGTTAGAGATCTATACATTAGTTCACTATTCCCAAATAATTAAAAGATGAAAGGTTTTGTAGTTTTCCGGAAATTTGATGTTTGACTCAAGACAGGAAGGAATGGAGGTGCGTGTCCAACCAAACCCAAAAGAACTGCACCCATTCATTGAAAATGAATCTTCTATTGATTTTTATTTTAAGTCTGGTACTTGCTTTCAAACGATTCCTTCAACCAATAAATCGGCAGTAAAGAAACCTTCAAAGATTTTTTGAGTTATTTCTGAATTATTACACAATATGTTCTTGTATGATGTTCTATTGAAACTGTTAAATATGGATCACAATTTCGGATTTGTATGATCACTTCGGCATCCCATCTGTAGTTCAGATAGAATTCAGATAAATCAAGCTGCAGCTGATTAAATGATAGATTTAAGTAAATATTAATTGCATACGTCATCATCTTTCGGAAACAGCAGATTTAGTTTGATAGTACAGGGACCTTTATACCTATAATTGGTATCCAAATCCAAGCTCAAAGTATGGAGNAGCAAGACAGAAATACTTTGAAATTTATCAAGGCTCATCCAGATAAAAGGAAGGGGCATATTTCTAATTGTTTGAAATGAGTTGCATTTGGCGTCCGGTAAATCAACTGGGCCTATGATAAAACCTAGTTTTCATATAAATTAAGAACTGATAGTTACTAGAACTTTTCAATTAAAAATGGATCACTGAGTATTTATTTTTGTTTGTTATATGGCGCCTTACTTTCTTTATTGGATTGAAAAATAAAAAGGAAAATATATTTCAAGAATCGGATGACATTTTTTGGAAGACTCTGTATTACTGTCATTTTTCTTAATCCACAGTTCAAATATGAAAATCTGGTAAAACAAAATCAAGCTTGCCAGGTACGTATTTGTTACAAAACACATTGACGTAAATCTGAACTGGTTTTGACCATTTATTCAAGTGTAACTCAAAAGTGAGCAAGATTTCTACGAACACTACTCAATCAAGGATTATCGCCTGTCAAAGATGAATAGTGCCTAACCAACGTTTCATTTTCCGGAACGGGGATAAGAACGAGAACCCTAATAAACTGACACATTTCAACCTCGAGGGCACCGTTTTTATCAACCAACGCTCGTCTTCGGCAAGCTTGCAGAGGAAACTGAACAGTCTAAAACGAATAAATGCTCGCGGAAATATTACATACTATTCATTCTATGTGGATATTTTGTGTTCATTGTCCCCTTATGTAGAATATCCATAAAGATAGGATAAAGGATAGCCGTATTTCCTATTTATGTATCTGTATGGAAAAAGAGGCAGAAAGGTGGAACAGAATACTGATAAGCAACAACATTCATTTTTATCGTACAAATTTTCTCATTTTATGAGTTTTAAAAAATTAGGGGAAACTAGTAGTCGATTTTCAATATCTGGGAAGTCAGATAAATGAAGATAGAAAACGTGGTATAGCAGGGCTGAAAATAAAAGTTAGAAGATGAAAATACCATGGATACAGGTAAGAAAAATGAGTAGATATTAGAATACATGAGAACAAAGAAAACAGAGAGATAGAATGGTAGGGCATAAAAGTTAGAGATCTATACATTAGTTCACTATTCCCAAATAATTAAAAGATGAAAGGTTTTGTAGTTTTCCGGAAATTTGATGTTTGACTCAAGACAGGAAGGAATGGAGGTGCGTGTCCAACCAAACCCAAAAGAACTGCACCCATTCATTGAAAATGAATCTTCTATTGATTTTTATTTTAAGTCTGGTACTTGCTTTCAAACGATTCCTTCAACCAATAAATCGGCAGTAAAGAAACCTTCAAAGATTTTTTGAGTTATTTCTGAATTATTACACAATATGTTCTTGTATGATGTTCTATTGAAACTGTTAAATATGGATCACAATTTCGGATTTGTATGATCACTTCGGCATCCCATCTGTAGTTCAGATAGAATTCAGATAAATCAAGCTGCAGCTGATTAAATGATAGATTTAAGTAAATATTAATTGCATACGTCATCATCTTTCGGAAACAGCAGATTTAGTTTGATAGTACAGGGACCTTTATACCTATAATTGGTATCCAAATCCAAGCTCAAAGTATGGAGTTATGAGCAAAACCGTTTCCATAAAAATCATCATAACCTATCCCCCTTGGTTGATAAAAATGTTCATCAAAACCCACCGAGTAGCATATTCTTTATTTTTTTTAGATAGAAATTAGCAATGAACAAGTCTATAGTATGTTGTTTATTTTAATTTTATGAAAATACTTAGATATAAACCCCGAAATATTTTTTTGGATCGTTCTTACATTTTACCCAACATTCATCCTTAAATAATGCGAAATAAAAACGAAAAGTATTGAAGAACTTTATAAGAGACTTACCCCTCCCCATCCTAATGCTCGTGCCAAATCGTTGCCAGTGCCTAATGGAAGAACTCCAACCGCTGGAGCTGGAGATATGCCGATTTGGTCGATGACACTTAAGACCCATCCAACAGTACCGTCACCACCACAGGCCAAAACCCGAAGGTTCGGCACCTTCTTGAACAGTTCCAAACCCATCTTGGGTCCACCTTGTGTTAGGTCAAACACCTAACAACAAATAATAATCCTACAGGGATCTATATTTTCGTTTTTACTATAAGTAATGTCCTAGCATTTATCTTTAAATTTATGCTCCTTTATGCATGTTTGCAGGACGATCAATAAAAAAAGGATGAGAAACGATAGCAACAGAACATAAGTAGTAGTAGTAATAAAACTTGCCGTGAGTATTTGATATAGTTCTTAAATAATGGAATACCTGTCTGGGATTGAGTAGCCATTGGAACTTCTGCAGTAGTTTAGTACCTTGATTGCCCCCTGATTTGGGATTTATAAATACTATCACAGGCGTAACTGTTTTTGATGGTATAGGCTTGATTACAAATGCTTTATGGTCCTTATCCTATAAAAGAAACAAACAAATGTTAAAATATGAATTTGTGAAGGGCATAATTGAAGGAGACGAAGTTGTTTTCGATTGAATACGTTGTAAAATGCAAAAAATGGCTTTTGGCTTCTATTTCAGTATAAAAAACAGACAGAAAGTATCCCAAAGTACCTTTTCTTTATTCCGTCGTTTGCTCGACGAATTTTTCTTCGAAGATTTCCTAAGGCTGGATTTAAAGTTCCCTTTGCCAGGTAACTTGATAATCCACGAAGGAGGAACTATAATACTGCTATGTACACCTGAAACAAACCACAAAAAATAATGTCGGAAGTAAAAACATTTCCTCACAAGAATATTGAATTTCCGTTACGCTGTTTGTTTGACAATTTGATTTATTGATTCAATCCGTTTGAGCTTACCTAAATTACATGCTTCTTCCATACGATGGGACCCGAAACAAGTTTCTTTGTTGTGGAAAGCCACTTTGCACCAAGAGCAATTTATTGCAACGATTTCTTTAGCGCCGAATGATAATTTCGATTGGAATGACTGGAACAAAATACAATAATTAAATTAAAAGCCACTAAAAGTCATTCAGATGGGTTTCACATAAACCTCCATACATATAATGAGATATTGCGTTACGTTTTACAATCCAATCCAATAAGTAAATTGGTACCTCCATTGAACCGTTTAGTGATATTATACCAAAGGTGATAAAGCTTACGTCCGAGAATTGCAAATTGGTATGCAACCTAGCATCGATTCCGTGAAGATGAACAGTTACAGTTAATTATATGTTTGGAGCACGACTCTGTATAGGTGTGGAACATGGATAGTCGAAGGGGGAAAATAGAAAAAGCTGGAAGATGTGGCGTTAAATGCGGACGATGAAATATGAGATATTGGAAAAGGTAAGAGAACAAACAACACCTTGGAAACCAATAAGGAAAAGAAGTACAGGTCCGACGAAGGAAGATGGCGAGCGGTCGCGCAGGTATTTGCCCATTTATGACCTATTTGGGTAAGTCACTTGGAACCGATACACAAATAAGCTTTCAGTAGGCGTAAATTATAGTATTAATACAGATAGGACAGTAGCGTACTAGAAAATAATGTAAAAACATGACTTA